TTTTTTTCCCCCAATTTTTCCTATTACTATTCATTTGCAAGTTATTTATTTATTTATTTTCCCCTCATTGTTATGAGACAATTGCAAGGAAAAGCAAAAATTAAAGGTTTAAGAAAAAAGTTACTAGACAAAATTGAGAAAACACCTATCCACTGACATTTTTTTCCCCCTGAAAACTGGGGACGGGGACACCTCAGCTATTTGATTATTGTGAAAAGTGTCATATTCTAGCCCTTGAAACACCAGAAAAGATTACTTGTGACCAGACGGGTCAGCAAATTAGAATGTCATCAGGAAGGCATGAAGCACCTGGTCCATACTAGAGGCCAGAGAGCCAGTAAGACTCAGCAAGGTTGCAACGGGCCTGGGTTAGGCAACGTGGGGGCTCCTGGTCTCTCCCTTTACCACCTCTCCTTTTTCTCTGAGCTTCAACCTGGTTGCTTCTGGTTTACAAAACAGAAGAGAAACACTCAACTACCTTGGAGAATTTGGATTTAACACTGCTTTAAAAAAAAAAAAGGAAAAGGATAAATGATAATGGAACTGCATTCCTCAAAACATAGAGACATTTACTCTAGTGAGTACACTCTAACATCAAAGATGGCAATATCCATCAGCTAGGCACTAGAGCAGTATTACAGAAGCTGTAGTCATCATACCATGTGCTTCAGAATAACCAGGGTGCTGGTTAAGACTCACATTTCCTGCCCTGTCACTGAGCTCTGGAATCAGAATCCTGGGAGGGGCCCCAGAGTTCGGCTTTGTGACCTGCTATTCAGGCGACTCTGATGCCCACTAAAGTGTGAGAATCACTGCATTAGAGGACGCACAGCTAAAAGAGCAGATGTGCTCATCACGTCATCATTAACAGAGAGTACTGACTTCTATTCTTAGCTCTTGGTAGGAGGGGAAGGAAGTTCTTTGAAAAGGCTAGCAGGTGGGGTTAAAACGAGCAAATGAGAAGCGTGTGGGCTTTCTTTTTCTTTGATTTCTAAGGAAACTGTGAAAAAGATATCTGGTTAGGAAATCCAGGTCAAGGGGAATAGCTTATCCTACAATTCAAATAGCCTCCCTCTCAGCCAGCATCTTAGAAGTTCTTCCAGTCTCTGTAGTCCACACCAGTGAATGGTCCTTCCCACCTCCCGACAGCCTGGTGGTCAGAATTCTTCCCACCAGGACAGGCACTCTCTCCTTTCTTACCATTTTCTTCCATTTCATCCTGCGATTCTGATACCAAGTCTTCACCTGCAGCTGAGTGAGTCCCAGAGACTGGGCCAAGTCCAACCTAAAAGACACAAGATACAAAGGATGAGGAGGATGGGGGTGAACAGGAGAGATGGGGTCCTGCTGACTAGCTTCAGGCACTTGCTACCAAAGCTTGGATCTCCCCCATTAAACCAATTCTTCTCCAGAAGGCTTTTCTTTCCTTCCAAGAATCCTGTGGAGGAAACTGGCAAGCTAAGAAACAGATGCCACAGTTGAGGACACCTGGGGCAGTCCCCACCCTGAAACATTCACTGTCTGCAATGGACCTGACTCTGGTCCTTTACTCTGACCTTCTGCAAAACAAAGATTCTGACCCAAAGTTCAACCTGGAAGCAAAAGGTAAAGCCTGTGCTCCTTATGGGAATCCACTCATCACTCCAGATCGACCTGGCAGGTAAGCCTCCTGGCTCCCATGGCTCATCTCTTCTGCACCGGCCAGAATCACCCAGATGGACCAACGTTCTCCACTGTGCTCTGATCACTTTGCATGTGTTATTTCTGCCTCCCTAACTCAGCAGCAAGAGCACCACATGTCTTCCACTTCTTTTATATCCATGAAGGTGCCTATCACATTACTAAATCCAGAACCAGGACTCAAAAATATTTTTTGATGTTTGATTCATTCATTGTAGCTGACCTAAATTGTTACAAGGAGTAAAATGATATAAATGATTAAATGTTATAAAGATTCCAAAAGACACAAATCTATAGTTACACTGCTTTCTATTCTACTGCTAATCCTGGGTCTGCCTTTCTTTGCAGCTTTCTGAAAAGTCCTAAAAGTCAAAGCCATTCCTGGGAAGTGAGCATTGGGGCTAATTACAACAACACAACAACTATTTCCTCAGCAACTATTTCCACAGTGTCCCAGCTACAGGTTAAGCCCCTGATATGTGTTATTTTATTTATTCCTTTCACCACACTGTGAGGTAGGTATAATTATTCCCATTTTACAGATGAGAGATCTGAGGCTCGGAAAGATCAGAATCTCTCAGCAACTATGGTCAAATCTTGCCCAGTACCTGGTTTCATAAATAATGTTTTATTGAGGCACAGACATGCCCATTTATTTACATATTGTCTATGGCTGTTTCTGTGCTACAACGTCAGAGCTCAGTAGAACTGTGACAGAGGCCACATGGATTTACTATCTGGCCCTGTACAGAAGAACTTGGCTGATTCTTAGTAGACTATAGCCGTTGACCTATGTGGTAAGAACCCCATGTCTACCTGAGCACCAAGTGAAAGGACCACCTCCTTGAGCCAACATTAGCTGTCGCCCTGCAGCTCCAACCCTGCTCACTGAAGCAAGGTGGACGTCTAAGGCAGCAATGTGGTATGACCGCCCTTGATACAGTTTGGGCATTGACCACCACTTTTTGAAGGTCTCTAGGCTTCTGAGGATTGCCATTTGTGGGTCCAAGGCCCACTGTCTCATACAGCCCGCACAGCCACAAGCTTGAGCCATGGGAAGCCTCAGGTGAAAATTCTCAGCTGTAACTTTTTCCACCTAACCATCAGGAAGACCAGTGGGCACTGGCCCTGAAGCTTCCAGGTGCTAACTCTTAGCACTCTCGGGTGTAGGCATCCTGCACCCCGGTTCTGATCAGAGTGCACAATTTAAATCTCCAATAATAGAAACAGCCTTCCTTCAAGGGACTTTGGAACCTGCTTTAAATCTGCATTCACATATATGTGGTCGTCCCTGACCAGTGGGCACTGGCCCTGAAGCTTCCAGGTGCTAACTCTTAGCACTCTCGGGTGTAGGCGTCCCGCACCCCGGTTCCGATCAGAGTGCACAATTTAAATCTCCAATAATAGAAACAGCCTTCCTTCAAGGGACTTTGGAACCTGTTTTAAACCTGCATTCACATATATGTGGTCATCCCCATGTGGTCGTCCCTGTAGAAGGGCTACTAGAAGCTGACCGTTTTATGGAAAGTGATTAACAGACTGAAGCCAATAATTCCCGGTGCTGACAGCACTTGGCTCTTCCCGCTAATGAAGCACTGCTTCCCAAGCAGTCACTCATTAAGAACCAAGACCCCAGGGGGCCTTCCCACGGACTCCTGGCTTCCCAGGCCTCCCTGGAGACAGGTCCTCCCCAGGCTCCAGCCGCTTCCACAGCCCGGTTCACCCGAGGCCATCAGGTGCATTAGTCAATGGAAGGGTTCAGTTCACAGCTCTGCCGCTGCCTTAGCAAGTGGCGTTAGCTCACTTGGGAAAAATGCATCCCTGACTCACGCTGGCTATAGAAACATGCTTCACTGTCATCGGCTTTCTCTCATTACCTGCCACCGTTACAAATTCTCACTTCTCTGCATATTCACTTAAATGGGTCACCTAGGAAACTGAAAAACAAACACAGAGGAGGCAGCCGAGAGCTGTGGGAGGAGGGAGTGCTCATGGCCCTGGTCACGTACCAAGGCGAGGAACATCTGAGAGGGCGGGTTAAGGCAGCAGCTTCGATGCCAGCCAGATGGTGTNTGAAAATTCTCAGCTGTAACTTTTTCCACCTAACCATCAGGAAGACCAGTGGGCACTGGCCCTGAAGCTTCCAGGTGCTAACTCTTAGCACTCTCGGGTGTAGGCATCCTGCACCCCGGTTCTGATCAGAGTGCACAATTTAAATCTCCAATAATAGAAACAGCCTTCCTTCAAGGGACTTTGGAACCTGCTTTAAATCTGCATTCACATATATGTGGTCGTCCCTGTAGAAGGGCTACTAGAAGCTGACCGTTTTATGGAAAGTGATTAACAGACTGAAGCCAATAATTCCCGGTGCTGACAGCACTTGGCTCTTCCCGCTAATGAAGCACTGCTTCCCAAGCAGTCACTCATTAAGAACCAAGACCCCAGGGGGCCTTCCCACGGACTCCTGGCTTCCCAGGCCTCCCTGGAGACAGGTCCTCCCCAGGCTCCAGCCGCTTCCACAGCCCGGTTCACCCGAGGCCATCAGGTGCATTAGTCAATGGAAGGGTTCAGTTCACAGCTCTGCCGCTGCCTTAGCAAGTGGCGTTAGCTCACTTGGGAAAAATGCATCCCTGACTCACGCTGGCTATAGAAACATGCTTCACTGTCATCGGCTTTCTCTCATTACCTGCCACCGTTACAAATTCTCACTTCTCTGCATATTCACTTAAATGGGTCACCTAGGAAACTGAAAAACAAACACAGAGGAGGCTGCCGAGAGCTGTGGGAGGAGGGAGTGCTCATGGCCCTGGTCACGTACCGAGGCGAGGAACATCTGAGAGGGCGGGTTAAGGCAGCAGCTTCGATGCCAGCCAGATGGTGTCCTCCTCCCCAGGCGAGTGAATCAATCCTGTGTAGGTCACCTGAGAGATGCCTGGGCAGGTATCAGGAAGCCCCAGGAGGTTTATTAAGAACTAACATTTCTGTAAAAAATACTCTCTGACTTCTGAAAAGTAAGCCTAAAATTTCACCCATGTGTGCTGAAGCTGTTTCGATATACCACCACAAGACCCATAAAACCACTCCACCTGGCTGCACGACTACATGCTGGGGCCATCAAAAGAGCCATTTAAATCCCGGGGATCACAGCTATTAATCACAGGTCTCCAGTGTCCAGCCAAATGCCCATATCCAAGACAGAACTCACTCTCTCCCCACCAACGCCACTCTGTCCGCACCTTCTGACTTCAGTGAATGGCATCCCTATATACATATACTTGGTGGCCCAGCCCAGGAGCCACAAAATTCCAAACTCTCTTCTTTCTTCCTCCTCCAACGTCAATTCTGCCCACTCCCTCTTCAAAGCTGTCCTCCCATCTCTTCTCCCCTCTCTAGTGCCACTGTCACCACCTGAATTCAGGTCCTTGGTGACTATCCCTGGATTCTCTCCTAATGGCTCCCTGCTCTATCTCTTGCCTAATCAATCATTCATGGCACCACCAGAGAAGATCCTAAATGTAAATCTGGTCATGTTTCTTCCAGCTCTTCATGGCTGCAGCTGCCGAAATGACACAGTGCACATTCTTCAGCCAGGCATGCGAGGCCTTTGCCCCTGTTCAGCCTCCTTTCCACCACCTCCCTGTTCACACCTTGAGCTGAGACAACCTAACCACCTGCAGTTCCCTCGATTCGCCCAGTGAGATGTGCTTCTGTGCCTTTTGTGTGCCATTCCCTCTGTGTGTCCACTCNATCAATCATTCATGGCACCACCAGAGAAGATCCTAAATGTAAATCTGGTCATGTTTCTTCCAGCTCTTCATGGCTGCAGCTGCCGAAATGACACAGTGCACATTCTTCAGCCAGGCATGAGAGGCCTTTGCCCCTGTTCAGCCTCCTTTCCACCACCTCCCTGTTCACACCTTGAGCTGAGACAACCTAACCACCTGCAGTTCCCTCAATTCGCCCAGTGAGATGTGCTTCTGTGCCTTTTGTGTGCCATTCCCTCTGTGTGTCCACTCCTCTGGGGAGTCTTCCCTAACCCCATCTGACATATTCAACAGGATCTTCGATTCCCGTGGCCCTCAGCACCATACGGGTACCCGTACCCAGTTCACTGTGTTGTCTTTATTGTAGTCATTCCGTCCCATGCTGTCCTCCAGAGCAGGACCCTGTCCACTACTTTCTGGACCTGTAATCCCTGTCATAGTGCCCAGCACCCAGAAGGCCCTCAGCAAACAGCTAAGAGCGCCTGCTTCGTTAAATCAACAAACTCCCTTTTAGCTGGTGATTTGCAGACTCCTCTCTCACTTAAATTTTTATTGCACAGCTACTAAATAGCTCCAGAGATTCGTTTGAATTTCCTTCTCTTTCTCTTTGATAGGACTTGGGCCAAAGCTGATATGGACAAGAAGAAAAAAGGGGCCTGGAAAATCTCCCTGATATATAGATTCACACATTAGCTCAGCCATCTCCAGAGTGAGTTTGAAGGAATAAAGCAAGATAGGCAGGAGTGTGTGTTAAGATAGTAAAGATTGCAGTTAAGATAGTAAACTAGGGCCNTGAGGGTTGCGATCCGTTGCCGGACACGAAAAAAGACAAAAAGGAAAAAAAAAAAAGATAGTAAACTAAAGAAAGTGTATTGTGGACTCAGGAAAAAGTCACAAACCCCCCACCGGGACTCAAGGGTTTCAGAGAAGGGACTCATCCAGGTCCTCCTGAGCCTCAGCCAAGTAGTTCTGATTCAATATCCATCCAATTCACTGAGACATATGACACCTCAACTGGATCAACCGAGCCCTTTCCAAGCAAGAGCCAGGCCAGCAAACCTTGTCGGCTAGAAGTCAGGAGGGTAGAGAGAAGACTGAGAAGATCACAGGTCCCAATTTGAGATCTAGTCCCACTGCATCTGACCCTAAGTGTGAGTGCTTTCCACGTCCAGCCTGCTTCCCAGCTGGGAGCCTGGGCAACCACTGGCTAAACTTCACCTGGCTTGTCATGCGGGAGGGGTTCGGTGAAAAATGGAGACACAGCGATGAGTATAGCTCAGCCACAGGCGGGCTCCTGGGGCTAATGTGACGAGCTCATGAGACCTGGGTTCTGTTAAGCCAAGGTTGAGACAACCTGCACCAAGGAGCAGATTCCTGCCATAGTGTCACACATCACTAAAACAGTCCTCTGTGGTCCCACGTCCCACACTGAGAACAAGAGGAGTCTTCCCTCCCAAGGCCCTTAACTGTGAGCATCCGCTCCTCACATCCTCACCTGTCTGGGGTGGACAAGTACTTCTGCTTCTGGAATTTCTTCTCCAGGCCCATGAGCTGCAGCTCAGTGAAGATGGTGCGACTCCGGCGGGGCTTCTTCTGCCGGGGTATGGGCTGCTCCGTCTCCGACTCGCTGCTGGCTAGAGCCTCACTGCCTGGGGTCTCAGCAGATGCAGCCTCGGCGGCTGGGTGGTGGGAGAGCGCCCGGGCAATTCCAGGGGCGGTGGGGACCAGGTGGGAGATGACCGTGGGCTGTCGTGTGATCACCGAGAGGAGAGGATATGCCCGAAGGGAAGGGGAGCCTGGAAGACAAACGGGGAGGCAGTCACCACCTGGAGCAGCGGTGGAAGCTCCGCAACAGGAGGTATAAATGGAGGACGGGGAAGATGCAGCAGCTACTGGAGACTCACAGCTGCAGGGTGGGCAGGCAACGGGGGAGTTGCTCAGCTTGGTGTGCAAAGACATTCAAGCCCCATAGCCAAGAAGAGGTTTCTACAAATCCTTTGGATTTAAGTGAATCTTCCCCCTCTCTCTCCCTCCTGAATCTCCATATTCTGCTTTCAGGGATATGGATTAATGGGACTGAACAGAAGAAAAGTAGTAGTCAGAAAAAGGTTGAGACACACACTTCAGAAATCCAAAATAGATCTGTAATATTCAAACCTCCTGAGAACCGCCTGTGGTCTTTACAGAAAGACATGCTTATAACTATGAATTCCTCCTGAGATGTCTATGCAACTTTAATCATAACATTTTTCAGAGGTGGAAGGATAGTTAGGGATTATTTAACTCAACTCCCTCATTTCAGAGGTGAGCAAACAGTTCCAGAAAGGTTAAGTGACTTGCCTACGATCATACAACTAGGAAAAAGCAGATTCAGGAGTCAAACCAAGTTCTTCTGGCTTGAAGTCCAGTGCTCCTGTCACTACGTCATGAATCACGTGGATACATCATTCAGAAGAGGGGGGCAAACAGATTTTCATTCACATGAAAACTCAGATCAGTTAGGACTGGTGTCCACAGCACTGTGTTAAGGAGGGTTCTGAGGGTGGCTCCCAGCCCAGCTGAGGAAAGAGTGCTGAGGTTGAGTAGCAATGTCTGCCGTGGGCGTGCAGCGGGAGAGGGGTATGGTGGTACACACGTCAGTTATTTGCTGCTCCTGCTTTAGGAATTCCAAGGCAAGAGTACTTTTCTGTTCAAGAATCTGTTAATTCGTTAAGTTCAGGTAAAAGAGTTCTTTCCTTTCATTATTCAACAGTATCAGATTTTAGATGTCTTGATCATTACCTCCGTACATCATTTTCTCTCTCAGGACCTTAGTTTTGTCATCAGGACAGTGAATAAGAGTAGATAAATTCAAAGAATCCATTGTACTTTAGTAGACTAATGCCACAAAAGTACCTCTCATCCCACCACTCGATGGCTGATGAAATCAGAGAAGAACCGGGGGCTGCCCGTTGTGCCTTGGCCCTGACAGGTGACCATAAGCCAGACCTCGGAGTCAGCTGGCACTCATGAGCTGTGGGTTCAAGCAGACTCACGTCACAGGAGCACCAGGGGCTCCTTGTGTTCTGGCTCTCTTTTCTGGACTGGCATTTCTCTTCTTATTCATTCCCAGGCCTCTGTTTTGGACCTTAGTCCTAGTTATTAAAACAGATAACGTCTCTTTTGTGTTGAGTATACTTCAGCAAGGCCCAGCAGAAACCACAAAGCTGTTAAAAAACAATAAATCACCAAGTGCTACAACTTCCACTAATTCTCTAGCCAACTCTTAACACTTGAGGTTTTGTATTGCGGATTCTTTTTAAGAAAAAAAAAAAAAAAACATCTGGGAATGACATTATATTGCAAGAAAATTAGGATACCTGGGGGGTGTTGGATCTCCCAGTACACATTATGAAATGATACGTCTTGAAAAAGTGTCTGAAAGCTTCTTAAACAGGCATAAGATGTTTCTCATCTCAAATCATATTACTCCTTTAATCCTGCCATTTCTTTCAAAAGGGAGTATCTTTATTTAGCAGGCTAATTTATAACCTAGAAATTCAGAAGCCTATTGGTATAGGAAATGGCTAATTACCTACCTGTAAATAAGGCCTTTTATCAACCTTCTCATTTGTGGGAGAGTTAAACATTTTTTTTAACCTAAAATTGAATAATATTTTGAAAGTGTGGTAATACCTAGTGCTGGCAAGGATACGGGGAATAGGGACTCATATATTGTCGATGGGAGTGTAAAACAACATAACCTTTAGGACAAACTAAGCAATACTTATCAAATTACTGACAGGCAATTGCACAGTCTGAGTCCATTTGCACATGTATAAAGATTTATGTATGTGCACATTTGCCACAACCTTGTTTATCACAGTGAACAAGGGGAAATAACCCACTTATCTATCAATAGGAAAACGATTAAATAGTGATACACCTATAGGAGGGACTGCAATGTAACCATTAAAAAGAAATATCTATATAAACTGATATAGACAGATAAACTAATAAGAGAAAATAACTAAAATATGTTATTAAGGGGGAAAAGTATGGTGCAAAACAATTTGCACTTTCATATAAAAAAAATCTGTGTGGCTGCATTTATAAATGCATTTTTTTAAAGCCTTGAATGCTAGTACCAAACTCTTTTTTTTTTTTTTTTGTCCTTTTTGAGACCGGCCGCACCGCGCTCAGCCAGTGAGCACTGTGAGCGCACCGGTCATCCCTATATAGGATCTGAACCCACGGCGGGAGTGCTGCTGCGCTCCCAGCGCCGCACTCTCCCGAGTGAGCCATGGGCTCGGCCCTAGTACCAAACTCTTAACAGTGATAACCTCTGAGGAAGGGATAGGAGTGAAATAGAGTGAAAAGAAATTACGTGTATTTAACCCTGTATTCAACCCTGCCATAGATACTCACTAAGCATCTACTATGGCCCATGCTGTGCTCTGGAAGCTGGAGATGTGGCAGTGAATAATATAAAGTCCCACCTTCACGGAGCTTACATTTCAGTAGCAGAGGCAGACAGCAAACAAATAAACAAGTAAATATATAACATAAAAGTGGGTAGCCATAAATTCCATGAAGAAAAATACAGCTGAGTGTGAAGATAGAACAGGCAGGGAAGAGGCCAGGTATTTTTAGATAGAGGGGTCAGGGAAGGCCTCTTTGGAAAGGTGACCTTTCAGCAGGTAAGTGCCTCGTGCAGAGGACAGCCTTGAGATGACACAGGGACAAGCAGCCCAGGCCAAGCACGAGCATGTGCAGAGCCCCCAAAGGGAAGCAAGTTTGCATTCAAAGAATAGCAAAAAGGCAGAGTGATCAAGGGAAGAAGTCTTGGGATAGAAAAATTTGGAGAGATCTGCCAGAGCCAGATCACAGAGGGTCTCGTAGGCCAGGGCAAATAATTTAGATTTTATTCAGAATTGATGAAAAGCCACTGGCAAGATTTGAGCTAGGGAAGGACATGATCTGATTTATGTCTTTAACAATCCCTATGGCTTCTGTGTGGAGGTCGGACTGCAGGGAACCCAGGGGCAGGTGTGGAGGCAGAGACAGCAGCGAGGAGGCAAGGCCATATTCTAGACCAGAAAGGTGGTGGCTGTGGCAGTGAGAGGTGGTCCGACTCAGAGTGTATTTTACAGCCAGGGTTGAATGAACCTGAAGGACTGAGAGAGAGAGTTGCCTGGTGATGTCTGGGTTTTGGTCTTATCAACTGGAGTAATGATGACGCCCTTTACTGACATGGAAAAGACTGGACAAATAGCAGGACTGGGTGAGAACCCAAGAATATTTAAAATTCCCCTAAAAAGTTGGAGAAAAAAACAATTTAGAAATCCCAGCAATGGAGTATAAAATATGGTTAGTTTTATGACACTGCTAGTTAAACAAATATTGTGGGTAACTTCTTGGGCAAAAGAGACTCAGTCACTTCTGAATCAAAGTGTCTAAGGAATTTTCTCCCTTTATGGCAGAAGATGTTTGAGTTCTCATGCTAGGTTGAATCACATTCTTTCATTTAAAATAAATATTGTTTAATGGAGAGAAATGATAGTCATTTCAATAGTGGTGCTGGAACTATTGGACATATATTTGTGAAAAAAAAAAGAACCTTGACCTATACCTCATAAATTATTTTTAAAAATTCACTCAAAATGGAT